GATGATTAAATTCTAATACACTAAGAATATTAGTTTCGTGATGATTAAATTCTAATAAAATAAGAATATTAGTCTAATACACTAAGAATATTAGTTTCGTGATGATTAAATTCTAATACACTAAGAATATAAAAATACGTATATGCTAAATTGAAAATACTCAAGTTATCCTTTTATCCCTTAGAAATTTGTTTATTATTTGACATTTGAGTTGTTTGTAAATCGATCGATCCAAATTAAATGTAACAATACATATCGATATATCGATATTGGTTATACATATCGATATTAGTATCATTACGTAGTATCGATGGTATCATTTTTACGTAGTATCAATGGTATCATTACGTACGTACGTACGTCGATGTTGTAAGGATTTGGAGGTTCTTGGATTTTTAGGGTTAGGGTTTATATAAAATAAATTCTACCTTGAAATACTAATTTAACCAAGAAATTCTTAACTCCTGTTCCATCGACATACATTATTATGAGCTAAAGAAAGTAAATATATAATGTCAATAAAGGATACCTACTTATCTATATTAATCCAATCAAAAGTTTTCTCAATAATCATCTGTTTGCATTTATTATTATGTTACACCGTATCTAACTATTTCGTATACGTACTAAATATTCTCAATTTTCTCATCATTTCAACCGATGCATTTTCACTGTTTCATCAAATGTAATTCGTTTTTATCCGTCACACTACGCAAAGCCAAATTCTTGAACTTATAAGAGAATCAAGTTATTTTGCTTATGTACAACTATGGTAATATATTAAAGGAATTTAATTCAATTTAATTCAATTTAATTCGTTTATGGCCCTTGTTACATAATAGGAAATAAGCATTAACTTTTTGCCTAAATTTTCCTAATAATGTAAATATTTAAATACTATGTATACATTACAAAAATGTACTTTATATAATATACATATAGTCTGTATCTCGAAACGTGTATTTTATTACAGCATTCAAATTACAGAATTAATGATGGAAATTATACAAATATGTGCGTCGAGGTGTTCACTGACGTTTTCACCCTTTCCTCCAACTTCATCTTTTTATGTCTTTTTTTTTTTAAAAAAAAAAAAAAGTATTATTCAAAAAAAAAAAAGTCGGTTTTTTTTGAGCAATATAAGAAGTTACAAGGGTTTAAACGGGAGTGCATGATATAAAATTTATTAACGCAAACGCAAAGAGAAAAGGAATTTGATTAATATCTAGTTTACTATCTACGTATTATATTTTATATAAATATAAATCTATACTTAATATTATCCGTATCAATATTTTTTTTCTTTTCTCTTGTTGTTTAAAGAAATACTGAATCATTCCTCTCCACAAAAAAAAAAACAAAAAAAAAACAAAAAAATCTAATACTCAAAGAATTAATAATAAAAAAGAAAATGTGTAAAAGTCAACGACGAAGCAGTTTTTCAAACCTAGAATTTGTGGCTTGTGCTGCGATAATCTGTTGTTTTTGGCCATGGACAGTTGACGCACAAGATGATACCGTTAACTCTGATAGTACTACAAATATTACCGTTAACTCTTCTAATAAATCTAGTAAGTAAAAAGGTCAAAATCATTATTCGATCTCAACGACATTAAATGATTTAAATGATATTATATTAATTGAATATAATCTTACATTCATTTAAATTTTAAAATAATTACCTAGCTTACTCATCTGCCTTAGCATTAGCCGATATATTATTCGCCACAGTTCTTATTTCCACTGGATCATTTGTTAGTTTCGTCTACATCAAATTTATTAGAATTGCTGGATCCATTGTCGGCTTTTATACTTTAGGTGCGTTTTTTTTTTTTACACAATATATATATGTTACAAGTGAGAACAGAATTTAAGTGGACTTGGAATTTCTTAAGAATAAAATTATAATTTTAAAGTAGAATTTATATTATATAAACTTACACCCTGAACCTAAAATCCTAAGAAATTCCAAATTTATTCACTTACAACTATATATATATTTTTTTTCTTTCATTTTGGCTAGTCTAAAATTTCTAAAATTTTGATTTCCGCGATCACGTGATCGCGTTAAAAGGTTGTTTAGCATGGATAGCAATGCTGAATTCGGAGCCGGGATATAATGATTATAGAAATTTGATGATTCCTATTATTATCGGATCACTAGGATCTATGCTATTTATGTATTTCAATAAAATGGGCACTTTCTTTGTCGGATGTGAGTATAAAAACTTTATATTTTCTGTCAATTTGACTTGCACGTGATCTAAGTGTCAGTTCGGTTCATTTATTTTTTTTAGTGTTTGGAGGATGCGTACTTGGTCTTACAACATTATCTGTTAAAGGTACGTATTTACGTTCATATATATTAGAGTTTTATGACTATGTATGCTAACACATTCTCGAACTCGGATAGACAATGGACTTTTCAGTTCATACCAATTCCGCCTTGTCTATTTGGTAATATTCGGCCTCATTGGCCTAGTGATCATGGGTGTTTACTGTCCAAATAGAAGAATTTGGCCTTTGGTAACATTTACCTTTCATATCATTACATTTTTCTTCCACGTTTCCTTTGCATTTACCTTTTATTATGTTCTTTCCTCAAAAAGTGTCTATCTTCTTCACTTTGTGGCTCGTATGCAATAATTCTAGGAGTTGATCAAGTTTTAAGATCTGGATTTACAACTGCTCCAGTTATTTACCTAGATTTAAATCACCTAAATTCTAGTTTGTTGAAATATAGTGTTAGTGGGAAAATTTATGGTTTGTTGGGTGGTTTCTTTGTATTAGCGTAAGTTTTATTCTTTTTTATTATATTGTATAAAAATCACGTATTTTGTTTTAATTAATCATCTTTTTATAAATATATAGTGCGATAGGATTCTACTTACAATGGAAAATAATACCTCCTATCATGCCACCAGGTCATACGAGTGGTAATGGTCCACCAGCAATGAGGGATGATTTAGAAAAAATAGTATACGAAACGAATCCTTCTATACGTCAATCAATGAGATTTAGTAAATTTGACTTTAAAGATATGGATCATTTAATCACTGTTAATGATGGCTATGATAAAAAGGGTGATGCTGGAGGTCCAGAGATTGTAAATAAGGTTAGGTATATTGAAAATGATGGGGTAAAAAATCCTATATCTGATCATAGTAATTCTAGTTATATGAGTCCGGATCCTGTTCAACATATTAAAAATCCCACAAATAGTCCTAGTAATATTGAAAAAAATTGTCCAGTAATTCAAGAAGAAAATGAGAAGTATGAAGTGTATGAAGAGGTGGATGGAGAGGATGAAGAGGAGGATGAAGATGAGGAAGAATTTATGGCTATAGCCATGTAATAGAATGAATGTCCTATTTGGTTATTTAGAATGTTAATATATGTGGCAGATTAAAATGAAATTAGATTAAAATGAAATTTTGTATAATATAAAATAGACAGGCCACCGAAAAATACAAATTTTGGGTATCTTTTTTAAGGTTAGGGTTAGCTTTAGCTTTAGGGATAGAATTTAGAATAAACTATTATAATGGATTATAATTTACTGTAGGAGGTTAAATCGAAACCCTAAATTTCATTTTAATCCGATTTCATTATGGTCTGCGACAATATATAACATTGTGTGATGTGTTCTTCATAAATTTTATATTGTAGTAGTGTAGAAATACCATAATTTCGAATAGAGCTAAAACTAATAATTAAATTCTCTATTTCGTTTTAAATATGTAAACTATATATAGTTAATATTAATCTCTATTTTGTACACTACAAAAAATTATAAAATAAATGAACCGAACTGACACTTAGATCACGTGCAAGTCAAATTGACAGAAA